ACTTTGTTTCTGTTTATGCAGCCCTAGCCACACCTCCCCTGGCTATGAGCAGAGCCTGCATGAAAAAAAAAACTGGTTTCACTTTCAAACAGATGTAATTTACCTTAAATAATTGTATCTCAATCTCTAAATTGAACTTTAATCACATACAGGAGGCTCTTGCAGGGTCTAGCAAGCTATTAACATAGCAGGGGATAAGAAAATCTTAATTAAACAGAACTTGCAATAAAGAAAGCCTAAATAGGGCTCTCTTTACAGGAAGTGTTTATGGAAGGCTGTGCAAGTCACATGCAGGGAGGTGTGACTAGGGTTCATAAACAAAGGGATTTAACTCCTAAATGGCAGAGGATTGAGCAGTGAGGCTGCAGGGGCATGTTCTATACACCAAAACTGCTTCATTAAGCTAAAGTTGTTCAGGTGACTATAGTGTCCCTTTAATCGGTTGCCTACCTGCCAGACAATTTACAACAGAAACAGGGTGTTCATGTATCACATCTTTGACATACCTAATGATAATTGAACATTGGTCAGAAACATTGAAACATTCCAGCTTCCCTGATTTCCTGTGCAATGCTTTTCTTCACTAGAGAGGAACCACACCAACTATTATAGCTTTAACTGTTGTCATTGAAATCAGTGTAACAAAGCTGCTATGTCCTTTACTCTTCTGTATGACTTGCTTAATATGACTTTTTTTAAGCAAAGGTCAAATTTACTTTAGAGAATCAACATTTCAACAAAATTGCCATGGTCCAACATGTCATCATCAAAACTTCATCTTGCTTCTGTTGAAGCGCTATAACTTAATCCCCTTTTGCCAATCCGTTCAACAGATTCCACTACATCCTCTAGGTTGGCATGCTTACTCTTCACTTCCACTTTTCTTAATATTTTTATGTTTTCCAAATCAAAATGGCTGCTGATATGAGCATGTATTAATCTCTTTAAGAAGGATTCTGATGTGTACTAGAGGTTGCTTTCTTCTTGCTCTTCAAGTTGCACAAACACCCTTAATACCTGTTCTAAAAAAGGACACTGTCATAACTGCACTTAATTTTTAAAAATTTTTTTTGCATATTTGAGTTGACTTCAATAAATATTTGAAACCAAAATCATATATCAATTGTGAGGGTAATTCACAAGAAAACACTTATCTTGGTATTTACATGCAGGGTACAAAAGCTGAGATGTTAAGAGCTTCTACACTAAATTGTTATTCATGTCAATTTAAAGCTATAAACATAGGCCTCGATTTAATATTGTTGGATAAACTTTCCAAATTATTTAACACTTTTGGATAAACATATGAATTTTTTTTCCCCCAACACATTAAAATTAAAAGAAAAATACATATATTGAGCCAACATTTTACAAAATTTTAATATTTTTCATAATATTAATTTATTTTAAAAGTTGTCCAAAAATATTAAATCAGTGCCAAGTTTGGCTGTAATTACCTAAAGACTTCAGTCAGGGACGGATTGAGAGCCTGTGGGGCCCCTGGGCAAAATTAGATCCCAGGCCATTTGTGTCAGGGTCTTACCTGAGGTGGGAGTCCGGTAGGCAGAGATTTGTGCTCACCCTTGCAGATATACACAGTCCAAGGTGATAAGGTCAGAAACCACCAGGACTGTGAATCTGTGCACGGGGGCTTAGGCAGGAACAGTAACCGGTTACATGGAAACAGACAAGGGCAAATCCAGAAGAGTAGTCAGACATGGTTCCAAAGGTCAGGGCTGGCAGCGAACCAGCAATAGCAAATAATCGAAAAAGAAAGGGTCACAAGCCAAATCAGTCTTAGGAAACTGGATACATGAAACAACAAACTGAAACTGCCCTCCGGGATAGGCAGTGTTATATACCTTTGATAATGATCCATTTGCCTCACGTGGTCTTAGATTGACTGGTGAAGTCCAGCCCCCTATTGCTGCAGGCAATGCCGGATACACAAGACTAGTTCTGAAGTGGCTCCGAGGCAAGAATGCAGGCTTAGGATCTAGAAGGATCCAGGTTTAAATTCACTGTCTGGCCCCTGTGGGGTGACTACGCCTGGTTCTTTGGATTACACTGGGAGAACCGTGACACTTTGAAGGCCAAATGTGTCTGCATTAATTGTTAAATATAACTCTCATATGATAATGTATTCCTTTGGATGTGTACATGTGTTTTTTTCGTACATAGTGTCTGTATGCATGCATAAATGTATTGAGCGTTAGTGTGTGACTGCATGTACAGGAATGTGGAATAAAAAAAAATTTATTTGTCCAAGGAACTAAAATAGTAGCACATTATACTTGCCCGTCATCTACTTGTCCTGATACAAAATAACAAAGATTGAAGGCCATTGACAAGGCTATAAGCTAAAATTATTTAAACAAAATAAATCTGAATGGACAACTGGAGGCAAAAATAGCTGATCTGGAAATATTTTCTAACTTTGGTATAGTTAGAACATGGGTATTTTTACTTCAATTTTGCCATTTGGATTTATTCTGTAAAAATTCCAAGTTTAGTGAATTACCCTGCGTGTAGTCTCTCCCTTTGTCACAGTGTGTGTGCTAGCTGCATGTGTTGTGTGCTGCCTGTATGTATGTAATGTGTGTGGGAGTAGGCTGTATTTTTAAAGTAATGTGATTCAGACGTTTATTCTATACAATGTGAGTGTTTTATGTATATATAAACAATGCTTGTAATATATGCACATGTATAATATTTATATAATACACACATTATTGTACATGTGTATATGCAAAATACTCTCAACAATTTAAAGTATAAATTGTACAAACTTATGAACAATTTATTTAAACCTTCTCCCCACTAACCTACACAAAGACATTGTTGGCACACACACTGCAACACACAATCACCTACCCACACACTGTTATTTGGACACAATTAGAGTTGAGCGAACCCAAACTGTAAAGTTCGGGTTCGTACTGAACATTACGATTTTTGGACCCCGAACCAGAACCCGGACATTTCAGTAACAGTTCGAGTTCAGTGTTTGGCGACTTAATGGCGCGTCAAATACTGTGGTTACGTCGCACTTTGAAAAAATTCACTTTTTTTGGTGCTAAATAGTACATTTGCGGCCTGCGGTGCATTTCTTGCAGTCCAATAAAACCCTTAAATACTACTCTTACATTGTTGGTTTAAAAAAATCACACTTTTTTGTGCAAAATAGAACATTTGCGGCCTGCGGTGCATTTCTTGCAGTCCAATAAAACCCTTAAATACTACTCTTACATTGTTGGTATAAAAAAAAATCACACTTTTTTGTGCTAAATAGAGCATTTGTGGCCTGCGGTGCATTTCTTGCAGTTGGATAAAACCCTTAAATACTACTCTTACATTGTTGGTTTAAAACATCACACTTTTTTGTGCTAAATCAGGGCCGGACTGGCCCACCGGGGTACCGGGAAATTTCCCGGTGGGCCGCGGCACCTGGGGCTGTCATTGCTCAGGCTCCTCTGATCCCGGCCGGCCATGTCCCCCATGTGTGAGCTGTGCGGCCGCACAGAGCTCCATGGGAGCAGGGGGAGCCAGGCGGCCGGCACAGCTCCACATGGCCGGCGGGATCATAAAAAAATATAAAAATAATATTTGTGGCGGGGGCGGAGCTAGCATGCTGCGGGTGCGGGGCTTAGTGTGCGGGGGCGGAGCTTAGCGTGCGGCGGGGCCCTGGCTGACTGCAGCATGGGAAGCAGGAAGGAGTCCCTGCTTCCCCAACAACCAGCCTCCAGGAGCTCCAAGCAGGAGGGAAGAAACAGGTCAGTGTGTCTGTGTGAGTGTGTGACTGTCTGTGTGAGTGTGTGACTGACTGTGTGTGTGTGTGTGACTGTCTGTGAGTGTGTGACTGTGTGTGACTGTCTGTCTGTGACTGTCTGTCTGTGAGTGTGTGACTGTGTGTGACTGTCTGTCTGTTACTGTCTGTCTGTGAGTGTGTGACTGTCTGTGTGAGTGTGTGACTTTGTGACTGTGTGACTGTCTGCCTGTGTGTGCATGACTGTCTGCCTGTGTGTGCATGACTGTCTGTCTGTGAGTGTGTGACTGTGTGTGACTGTCTGTCTGTGTGACTGTCTGTGTGAGTGTGTGACTGTGTGAGTGTGTATGAGTGTGTGACTGTCTGCCTGTGTGTGTGGCTGTCTGCCTGTGTGTGCGTGACTGTCTGCCTGTGTGTGCGTGACTGTCTGTGTGCGTGTGTGGCTGTCTGCCTGTCTTTGTATGTGTGGGTGTTTGCCTTGGTGTTAGTGACTGTCTGCCTGTGTGTGTGTGGCTGTCTGCCTGGGTGTCAGTGACTGTATGCCTCTGTGTGTGTGTGACTGTCTCCCTGGGTGTCAGTGACTGTCTGCCTCTGTGTGTGTGCGCATCTGCTAGTGAGGGAGCCTTTGTGTGTGTGTGTGTGCCTGCTAGTGAGTTTGTGTGTGTGTGTGCCTGCTAGTGAGTGAGCTTGTATGTGTGTCAGTGAGCTTGTCTGTAGGGATCATATGTGTGTGTGTGTTAGTGAGCTTGTCTGTAAGGAGCATGGATGTGTTGGAGCCTGTCTGTGGTGAGCATGTGTGTACAGTGAGCTTGTCTGTAGTAAACATGAGTGTGATCGTGAGCTTGTCTGTAGTGACCATATGTGTGTCAGTGAGCTTGTCTGTAGTGAGCATGTGTGTGTCAGTGAGCTTGTCTGTAGTGAATCTGTGTGTTAGTGAGCGCTTCTGTAGGGAGCATGTGTGTCAATGGGCTTGTCTGTAGGGAGAGTGTGTGCGCATCAGTGAGCTTGTCTGTAGTGAGCGTGTGTGTGTGACAGTGAGCTTGTTTATAGTAAGCTTGTGTGTGTGTATCAGTTTGTCTGTACTAAATTTGTGTGTGTGCCAGTAACCTTGTCTGTGTGTGTCATTGTCTGTCAATGAGCCTATTTGTGTGCATCAGTAAGATTATCTGTCTGCGTGTGAGTATGCTTTACTGTATAATTTAATTACCCTAAAAGAACTAATATTTTGAATTAGAATAAGAAATGTATCAATAATATATATATATATATATATATATATACATACATACACACACACACACACACACACACACACACACACACTGTTGCATCACCAGGGCTCCAGTATCCAGTATATATAGGCAATTGAAATAGTTGGCTGCACTCTCGGATTTCCTTAAAATTTTACTTTTATTGAAATATTTAAGAGAAGATCAGCGTTTCAGTCCCTCTTGTGGACTTGCATCAGGATCATGACGAAAGTCCACAAGAGGGACTGAAACATTGATCTTCTCTTAAATATTTCAATAAAAGTTACATTTTCAGGAAATCTGAGAGTGCAGCCAACTATTTCAATTGCCTATATATATTTATATATATATATATATATATATATATATAAAAACACCCTACATAGCACAATGACTTATGGGGCTGGCATAGATTTTTTTCCAGGGCTGCTTCGTATCCCCAGTCCGGCCCTGTGCTAAATAGAACATTTGCGGCCTGCTGTGCATTTCTTGCAGTCCAATAAAACCCTTAAATACTACTCTTACATTGTTGAAGTAACTGTATTAATTACGCCTGTCACAGTGTTGTGTGACCTCTAGAAATGTTTTCTCTTTAGGACACCGGCACTGCCTTACTGTCAGTGAACTTAATTGTTGACTATTGGTGGTTACATTGTCGCCTGACATAAACCATCTGTTAGTTTGGTGGGTAAACGCAAAGAATGAGGAGAGCGTCAAATAAGTGACGTGGCCCTGGTCGTGGTGCTGCTGGTGTTGGTGGAGCTCCTGTTGCAGGGAGAGGACGTGGTTGATCTGTGCGAGCTACATGCACAAGTGAAACACCTTCCTCAGGTGCGAGTAGGCGACAGAACCTTCAGCATTATATGGTAGGCCAGAACGTCGCTCTACGAATGGTGAGGCCAGAACAAGTACAGGCGATAGTAGATTGGGTGGCTGACAGTGCCTCCAGTTCCTTCACGTTGTCTCCCACCCGGTCCCCTGCTGAAAGCTCAGCGTTGGCACCTGCAGCCCATGGCCATCTGTCTTTCACCTCACCCCCTTGCAAATCAGCCAAGCAGTCTGAGCCACAAGTCATGCAGCAGTCTTTTATGCTTTTTGATGACTCTGCTGGCAGGGTTTCCATGGGCCATCCACCTAGCCCTGCCCCAGAAGTGGAAGAGATTGAGTGCACTGATGCACAGCCACTTATGTTTCAGGATGTGGACAAGCGAGGACCACCGCATCTGATGATGACGAAACACAGGTGCCAACTGCTGTGGCTTTCTGCAGTGTGCAGACTGGCAAGGAGGGCAGGGTTGAGGAGTGGGTGGAAGATGATGTGGAGGATGATGAGGTCCTAGACCCCACATGGAATCAAGGTCATGCGAGTGACGTGTGCAGTTTGGAGGAAGAGACGGTGGTCGCACAGAGGCACCAGCACAGCATAAGAGGGAGCAGGGTGCAAAAGCTGAGCGGCCGTCCCCTAGACAGTACGCCTGCTACTGCCCACCGCACTCAGGGACTGAACACACCAAAGCTAGCTCCAAGGAGTCCCCTGACGACAAGACACGAGTGGTTTGCATGCCGTTCAATCAGAGCCTGAAGCGAGGCGTAAACGTTCTAAACCTGAGCACAACCTGCATGACCAGGCATCTACATGCAAAGCATTTGCTGCAGTGGAGTAAGTACCTCAAAAACCAAGAAAGGTATCAGGCTCCTCCTGCTTCCTCTTCTGCTGCTGTCTCGGCCTCTTCCTACACCTCTGGAGTGACAGTGGCACCGGCCACCCTGCAAACAGAGGATGTGGCAGCAACGCCACCATGTCCGCAAGCATCTCCACACTGTCCCATGGAAGCATTCCGCTGTCCATCTCCCAAACACTGGAGAGAAAGAGGAAGTACCCACCTACCCACCCGCGATCCCTGGCCCTGAATGCCAGCATTTCAAAATTCCTGACCTTTGAAATGCTGTCATTCCATCTGGTGGAGACGGACAGTTTTAAAAACCTGATGGCGGTGGCTGTCCAACAGTACGTGGTTCCAGGCGAGCCATCCCTTCCCTGCACAACCAATTGACAAAATCAGGTGTGCATTGCGCAACGCCATCTGTGGCAAGGTCCACATAACCACTGATACATGGACCAGTAAGAACGGGCAGGGACGCTATATCTCCCTAACTGCACACTGGGCAAATGTGGTGGCTTGGCCTGAGGTGGATAGCAGTTTGGCGCATGTCCTTCCACCACCGAGGATTGCAGGGCATTTCTCTTTGCCTCCTGTTGAATCATCCTCCTCTACCACCTCCTCATCCGTCAGCATAACACTTTCACCACCAACTTCAGCACAGCCATGGGGAAACGACAGCAGGCTGTTTTAAAAATCATATGTTTGGGGGGAAAACCCCACATCGCGCAGGAGCTGTGGACGGGCATGGAACAACAGATCGATGAGTGGTTGTTGCCACTGAGCCTCAAGCCCGGCCTGCTGGTGTGCGATAATGGGCGAAATCTCGTAGCAGCTCTGGGCCTAGCCAGTTTGACGCACATCCCTTGCCTGGTGCATGTGCTGAATTTGGTGGTGCAGAAATTCCTGAAAAACTACCCAGATATATCAGAGCTGCTGCAGAAAGTGCGGGCAGTCTGTGCGCGCTTTCGTTATTCTCACCCTGCTGCTGCTCGTCTGTCTGTGCTGCAGCGTAACTTCAGCCCTCCCGCTCACCGCCTCATATGCGAGGTGCCCACAAGGTGGAACTCCAATTGCAACATGCTGGCGAGACTGTGCGAGCAGCAGCAGGCGATAGTGGAGTTTCAGCTGCAGCACGCACGGAACAGCACCACTTCACCACCAATGAGTGGGCCTTCATGCGAGACCGGTGTGCCATGTTGCACTGTTTCGAGTACTCCACCAACATGGCCAGTGACAATGACGCCATTCTCAGCCTTACTATCCCGCTTCTATGTCTCCTTGAAAAAACCCTTCGGGCGATGATGGAAGAGGATGTGGCACAGGAGGAAGAGGAGGAGGAAGAGGGGTCATTTCCACGGTTATCAGGCTAGTCATTCGCAAGTGGCTCGGAGGGTGGGTTGCTGCACCAGCATAGGCCAGGTACACAATTGTCCAGCCAGGCCACAGTTCTGGAGGAGGAGGAGGAGGAACCGTGTTCACAGCAGGGTGGCACCCAACGCAGCTCGTGGACATCACTGGAGCATGGCTGGGGCGATAGGGAGGACACAAACGATACACCTCCCACAGAGGACAGCTTGTCCTTGCCTCTGGGCAGCCTGGCACAGATGAGCGTCTACATGTTGCAGTGCCTGCGCAATGACTGCCAAATTGCCCATATTCTAACTTGTGCTGATTACTGGGTGGCCACCCTGCTGGATCCCCGTTACAAGGACAACGTGCCGTCCTTAATTCCCTCACTGGAGTGTGATCGGAAGATGTGCGACTACAAGCGCACGCTTGTAGACGCGCTGCTGAGGGCATTCCCAACTGACACCGGGGGCTCAGTGGAAGCACAAGGCGAAGGCAGAGGAGGAGGAAGAGGTTGCCAACGCAGCTGGGGCACTGCCAGCACCTCAGAAGGCAAGGTTAGCATGGCTGAAATGTGGAAAAGCTTTGTCAGCATGCCACAACAACCAGCACCACCAGTTGATATGGAACGTCTTAGCAGGAGGCAGCATTTCAGCAACATGGTGGAACAGTACGTGTGCACACGCCTACACGTACTGACTGATGGGTCTGCCCCATTCAACTTCTGGGTCTCCAAATTGGGCACATGGCCTGAGCTTGCCCTTTATGCCTTGGAGGTGCTGGCCTGCTCTGCAGCCAGTGTATTGTCTGAACGTGTGTTTAGCACGGCAGGGGGCGTTATCACAGACAAGCGCAGCCGCCTGTCCACAGCCAAAATGGACAAGCACATGTTTATTAAAATGAACCAGGCATGGATCCCACCAGACTTGTCTGTACCTTGTGCAGAATAGACATTTATACCGGCCTCACCCAACCTTTGTTATACTTAATTGCACTTATTCTTTGTTTTCTTTTTTTATATGTCCCAATATTTTGGGGGCTAGTCCAATTAAAAAAAACAAACAAACAAAGAAATAAAAAACAGTGTTGGCTACCTCCTCCTCCTCCACTGCCACGGTCACTGCCTCCTCAACCTCCTACTCCACCTCCTAGTTCAAGATTATTTAAATTTTTTATGTATTTTATGTTATTTTAAGTTATTTCCCTATCCACATTTGCTTGCAGGGCAATTGCCCTACTCTTACCCCCATTTTACTTCCTTTTGCAGCCCTCTAGCCCTTTCCAGGACTTTTTTAGAGCAATTTTAGTGCCCAAAAGTTCGGGTCCCCATTGACTTCAATGGGGTTCGGGTCAAGTTCGAGTCCGAACTCAAACTTTTTTGCCGAAGTTCAGCCGAACCCGGCAAACCCGAACATCCAGGTGTCCGCTCAACTCTAGACACTACATATTTCTCATTACCAGTAGCTTTAATCCTGTAGTCGGTCTGCAGCTTGTTCCCTTCCCTCCATGCACAGATGACCTAATGCTCTTGGTGGGCATAAGTTTTGTGCATCGCGAGGAGCTACCTGGCAGTGTACTGCAACTCCAGCCGGCTCTAGATGAAGGCAGACGGTTCTTCCACCGCACAAACACTTTCCGCTGGTATCCCTGCTGCTCAGATGAACACAGTTCATCTGAGCAGTGTGTGTGTGACTTTAGGAGTACAATTGTGAGAAATGTGAGTGTGAAGCAGGGGTGTATGTGCGTAAAGTGTAAGCCTGTGAGTGTATTAGAAATTGTCTCTAATTAGAAAATGTGTCAAAGTGTATGTAAAGTTTATTTATATGGTGCAAGTGTTAAAAATTGTGTATCTGTTTGGATTCCCCCACCTCCTTTGGTGCCCTTTTCACCATGCTCCACCATTTTTGTCTTTACATCACCCACCTGCTTGTTTCCACTTTATCTCCTCTATTGTCTGTCACACTTTGCTTCCCCATCTCCTTCTGTGACTCTCTACTGTGACCTTCACAACTGTTACAAATCACACTCCTTTTTACAAAGCACTCCCATCTTACCCTTTTTATTTCCTGCCTCTCTCTTTCTGCTCCCTAATGTCTCTCCCTATATTCCCCTTTGTATTTCCTACCCCTCTCCTGCTCCCTGATATCTCTCCCAATCTTCCTCTTTTTATTTCCTTTCTTTATCATGCTCCCTGTGGTCTCTGGCCAGCTGCTGTTCCATCCCCTCGCTGGCTGTGAAAGGTCTGGGTGAGAGGAGAGTGCGGGAAGTGATGTCACTTCCTAGCCCCGCCTCTCTCCATCACACAGTGCACTGCACGGGACAGGAAGAAGGGGACCTGGAAGAGAGCAGGTAATGCCAGGTGTCATTAAGGGGGAGGGAGGGAGGATGGATTAATGTGCAGAGTAATTGGTTACAGGGGCCCTGCATTTCCTCAGGGGCCCTACAACCTATCGATGCAAGAGATTTTTTTTTTATTTTGCCATTCTAGTTGGAGAGATCTATAATCTCTCCAGCTGGAGCATGGCTGTGCGGCCGGGCCCCTGGCTGTGTCACACCTTTGGTCCATGACTGATGTCAATATAGCTTGGTTGCAACTTCTAAGTGCTGTTTCTAAGTGTGTAGTTGGAGATATTCTGGAGAGTTTTACAGAAGCCTCAACTGTCTTTAAGAGTTGTGCTAAGAGCTTTCTTTTCTACTGTTACAGGTAAGATTCATCTGAAAGAAAAGGTTACTGATTGCACAAGGTTTGAATTCCTGTTGGTAATATTAAGGCATTTGATTAGATTACTTGCTATTGATTGCTGTTTAAATTAGCTATTGTTCGCAAATAAGCAGATGCCTACCCAGGTGTTAAACATGCCTAGTGGGTGGTGATTTTAGTAGTTTTATAAGGGCTGTTGTCATTAACTTGGCTAATATAGCTTGGTTGCTACTTCTAAGTGCTGTTTCTAAGTGTAGTTGGAGATATTCTGGAGATAAACTGGAAGTAATCTGAGGTATTCAGGAGGATAAATACAAAGTTAAGATTCATTTGATTTAAACTATTCTCCTCATTGGAATGGCAGAGTTAGTTCAGTGTAATAGTTGCTATGCATTTGTTTCACGTTCCACTTTTTGGAGGTTTGGTTGTTGTCTAATCTGTAGACAGTTCTCTATCTTGCGGCAGGAAATTGTATTTTTGAAGTCTGAGATTTGTAAATTATCTGGTGAACAAACTCAGACTGGAACTGCTGCAAAGCCACTGCCGCAGAGACATACTAGGAATGGCAGATGGATTACAGGATCTGGTAGACTTAGAGTTGTGGATAAAAGGCATTTTGCACAGCCTGTTGCTCTTCATAATTCATTTTCTGCACTTTCAGAGTGTAATGGTGTTGTGGAGAGAGGCACTGAGGCTAGTGGTGTTGTGGAGAGAGGCAATGAGGCTAGTGGTGTTGTGGAGACCGGCTTGGAGACTATGGTGAGGCCTAATAGAAAGCAGTTGTTGTTGTTGTTGGGGGATTCCATTATAAGAGGTGTGGAGATGGACAATGGTGGTCTTGTGAGGTGTCTTCCCGGAGCTACTGCTCACAGAGACAGGAGACGTATCTGTAATATTGTTAAGCAAGCAAAGCAGGAAGGGGAATTGGATGTACTTGTCCATCTAGGGACAAATGACTTGGCTTGCAATGAGGTTTCAGAGGTTAAGGAAGTTTTTAGTGTTTTTGCCAATGATATACGGCAGGTTGCTTCCACACTGTCATTCTCTGAAGTTCTGCCTGTGCATAACACTCAGAGCGACAGGCGGATGCGTATTAGGGACTTTAATTTGTGGCTTGGTGAATGGTGTCGGGAGCAAGGATTTGGCTTTATTTCTCATGGTAGCTCTGTTTGGAATGGAGATAAGCTGTACAAAAAAGATGGTTTGCATCCTTCTCAAAAGGGAACAAATGTTCTCAGTGAGCAGTTCAGAGGTTTTGCTAGGATGTATTTAAACTAGGAGGGGGGGGCAAAAGGGTGATAAAACATCAATCCAATTGTCCCCCAAAACAAGGACAGAAGGTGCCTGTAGCAAGTGTGTTAAAAAATGATAAGCTTAGAGTCATGTCTACAAATGCTCGCAGTTTAGGGAATAAAATCCATGAACTTGTGGCAATAATGGCAACTGATAGTGTAGATTTAGTCGCTGTTACTGAGACATGGTACAATGAGAAAAATGACTGGGACATAGCAATACCAGGGTACTCTTTATATAGGAAAGATAGGGAAGGCAAGAAAGGGGGAGGGGTGGCCTTGTATGTGAAGGATAGCATAAAATCTAGCCTAATAAAAGTTAGTGAGGCAAACATAGAGTCCGTTTGGGTTACGTTAGAATTTGGTAATCACACAGTAACTCGTGTAGGTGTGATTTATAGGCCCCCAGGACAAATTGAAGAGTTAGATAATCTACTAGTTGAGGAAATAGCTAAAATGACAATGAAGGGGGAAGTTATCATCATGGGTGACTTTAATCTTCCTGATGTAAATTGGAAAACAAAATTAGCTACTTGTGCCAGGAGCACACATATTCAAAACTCCCTACTGGGATTGTCTCTAAAACAAGTTGTTGAGGAGCCAACTCGTAAAGAGGCCATACTAGATGTAGTGTTAACAAATGGAGATTTGGTATCAGATATTACTGTAGGTGAAAGTTTAGGATCCAGTGATCATCAGTCAGTGTGGTTTAATATAAGAACAGTGACTGAGTCACACCACACAAAAACAAAAGTTTTAGACTTTAGAAAAACAGACTTTTCTAAAATTAGAATATGGGTAGAGGAGTCAATATCAGACTGGAGCAATTTAAATAGAGTCCAAGAGAAATGGGATTATTTAAAAGTTGCACTATTGAAGGCAACAGAAAATTGCATTAGGCTTGTCAGTAAAAGCAAAAAATTCAAGAAACCACTGTGGTACTCCACAGATGTGGCCAAAATAGTTAAAAACAAAAAGTTAGCATTTAGGAATTATAAAAAAACCCAGAGTGAGGAAGACAAAATGATCTATAAGATTAGGCAGAAAGAGGCTAAGCAAGTTATAAGAGCTTCCAAATCACACACAGAAGAGAAAATAGCACAGTCAGTAAAAAAGGGGGATAAAACATTTTTTAGATACATAAATGAGAAAAGAAATGTAAAACAAGGATTAGTTAGATTAAAAACAAAAGAAGGAAGGTATGTAGAAGAGGATAAAGGTCTAGCTGACTGCCTCAATAAATATTTTTGTTCTGTATTTACAGATGAAAATGAAGGAAAGGGACCTCAGTTGAGAAAAAGGATAAATGAGTCATTTATTACTTATGAGTTTACTGGGGAAGGGGTTCTATTTCAACTGTCAAAAGTAAAGACAAATAAGTCAATGGGACCTGATGGAATACACCCAAAGCTATTAAAAGAGCTTAGTGGTGTACTAGAAAAACCATTAACAGATTTATTTAACCAATCATTGTTAACCGGAGTAGTCCCAGAAGATTGGAAGTTAGCGAATGTTGTGCCCATTTACAAGAAAGGTAATAGGGAGGAGTCGGGCAATTATAGGCCAGTAAGCCTTACTTCAGTAGTGGGGAAAGTGATGGAAACCTTGTTAAAGGATAGAACATCTAAAAACACATGGATTTCAAGATCAGAGACAACATGGGTTTACTTCAGGGAGATCATGCCAAACTAATCTTATTGATTTTTTTGATTGGGTAACTAAAATTATAGATCAGGGTGGTGCAGTAGACATTGCTTACCTAGATTTCAGTAAGGCTTTTGACACTGTTGCACATAGAAGGCTTATCAATAAACTGCAATCTTTAAGTTTGGATTCCAATATTGTTGAATGGGTAAGGCAGTGGCTGAGTGACAGGCAACAGAGGGTTGTAGTTAATGAAATATATTCGAAACTTGGACTTGTCACCAGTGAGGTACCTCAGGGATCTGTACTTGGACCCATTCTCTTTAATATTTTTATTAATGATATTGCAGAAGGTCTTGATGGTAAGGTATGTCTTTGTACTGATGATACTAAGATATGTAACAGGGTTGATGTTCCAGGAGGGATAAGCCAAATGGCAAATGATTTAGGTAAACTAGAAAAGTGGTCAGAATTGTGGCAACTGACATTTAATGTGGATAAGTGCAAGATAATGCATCTTGGACGTAAAAACCCAAGGGCAGAGTATAGAATATTTGATAGAGTCCTAACCTCAACATATGAGGAAAGGGATTTAGGGGTGATTATTTCTGATGACTTAAAGGTAGGCAGACAATGTAATAGAGCAGCAGGAAATGCTAGCAGAATGCTTGGTTGTATAGGGAGAGGTATTAGCAGTAGAAAAAAGGAAGTGCTCATGCCATTGTACAGAACACTGGTGAGACCTCACTTGGAGTATTGTACACAGTACTGGAGACCGTATCTTCAGAAGGATATTGATACCTTAGAGAGGGTTCAGAGAAGGGCTACTAAACTGGTTCATGGATTGCGGGATAAAACTTACCAGGAAAGGTTAAAGGATCTTAACATGCATAGCTTGGAGGAAAGACGAGACAGGGGGGATATGATAGAAACATTTAAATATATAAAGGGAATCAACACAGTAAAGGAGGAGACTATATTTAAAAGAAGAAAAACTACCACAACAAAGGACATAGTCTTAAATTAGAGGGACAAAGGTTTAAAAATAATATCAGGAAGTATTACTTTACTGAGAGGGTAGTGGATGCATGGAATAGCCTTCCAGCTGAAGTGGTAGAGGTTAACACAGTAAAGGAGTTTAAGCATGCGTGGGATAGGCATAAGGCTATCCTAACTATAAGATAAGGCTAGGGACTAATGAAAGTATTTAGAAAATTGGGCAGACTAGATGGGCCGAATGGTTCTTATCTGCCGTCACATTCTATGTGCCCAAGTGGTCAGTACGCCCCTGACCAGTCATCTTTCAATGTAATGGTCACCATCGTGAAAATTCATGGCAATTTACAAACTCCCAGTGAATGTTACTGATAAAAAGAACATGTTAAGCGCATGTGTTATCAGATGCCAATACTAATCTATAATTTCTTAATACGGGAGTTTTCTACAGTGCAGGAACGATCATCCTACAAACCATCTGATGCTGTGAGCTCACTGTGTCAAATTCAGGTTTCTTTTTTTCTAAAAAATTGCAAAGTTAACACAAACTATAAAAAGTTGTAAATGTGATATATGACTGTGCGGATATGGTTTTTGCTGACAGTGGCACTTAATTCTGCATAAAAATGTAACAGGTTACATCATGGCTTGGTTTGCATTCTAGGAAATAATCCCAATAATGAATATATATAATATACTTAAATGCCAATGCAGACTTGTCATAGGTGGAAGGTGGTTAGAAATTAAGATAGCATGGGGTGTGAAAAAAAACATAATTTTGTTTAAAAAATATGGTGGATTAAAGTTTTAACCAAACCCATTTAATAATGCAGCATTCTTTAAATACAGAAACCAGATTTATACTTTTTATACCTATTAGTATGTTCAGCCCTGCAGCTTGAACCTGGACGTGATGAACATATGTTTATGCACATTTGTATATATTTTTACTGTAAGAGATAAAAAAAAAGCCTGAGCATATATCAAAACTACGGAAAAATTATTGCAACATATTTTTGTCACCCTAAATCCCATTTGCTAAATTTTTTTTCCATTGGTGCAATATTTGTGAAAAATACGTATGACCTCATCCAAAATCAGAGATGTCAAAGTAACAAAATAAATGTGTCCTTTGGTTTCTGTTTATACAAATAAAAAATAAAGAAATAATTAATAGATGATTAATTTATGACAAGATCCAGAGATGTGTAAGATAGGAAATAAAGCAGGTTGCATGATAGATATCATTTTCTCTGCTTTCCTGCTTTCTGTGTTGCTTTTAGCAAATTCTTACATTTTTGATTCTAACACTGTTACTACATTAAGACTGCTTTTTATGTCATCATATTGTCATGGCACTTTTTCTTTACTGAAAGGATAAATATTTTTATCACTATGACTGTGTCTAGTGTTTGCCAATAATCTATGTTTATGACAATTGTACTAGATAAACCTAATGTTTTTTAATACAAACAGCCATATAGATAATTGCATCTGTAAAGGTTTAGTTGTCCTTCAACCCTACATTAGCATGGATATGGCATGGTGAAATTGAATCCACATAGAATAGTCCATAAACAAAGTTGCAGTTTCATGTGTAAAACACGTTACTAACGAGAGAAGAGAATGGCCAACTAGTCAAACACAATTTATACCCACAAATACTCAAATTTTCACGTTTTGCTTTATTGGGGCAAAAGTGAAGTGGACATCCTTCATCTGCTGGAGACATTCAGGTTTATTTACTAAGCTGTTAACTGTTGGGAAATCAAAGTGATTTAGAAATTTTAGGCAAAAATAGCTGATTTGAAATCATAGCTGGCTTTGCAATTTTTTCCAATTTGGGCATTGTAGTCGTAATGTTCAAATTCACTTATAATTCAAATGAATTATCCACTTTAGTGAATAATCCTGATAGGGTTTAAGACTTCTGTCAAGTAAGAAGAGGGCAACAGCAAGCACATAATGCCAAAATTGGAAAAAAGAATGTCTGGTCTTATTACTCGAGTTTTGCTATTGCATGTAGAAGGTAGGGACCGAGCGCTGCATAAACATTTTGATTCTTTGAATCCAGATTGCTTTGTTTCAGTGGTGCATGCTGATACTGGAATGTTGTGGGGGATGTTCTTGCGGCATCCATTAGATCTATAAACAACAATTTAGTATTAACATGCCTAAATACTGTTGCCATTTGTACCTCTTTATAGCACATACTATTTGACTTCTTGAAATGTTCAATGCTCTTCAGTTCACAAGTAAAATATCCTCAATGTTAAGTATAATGTGTTGATAAGACTCCCTTCATGAATGGTGCTCTAGGATGATATGTCCATAAATTCGTCAGAAAATTTAAATAATTTACTTGGTTATACCTTTATAGAGAAATGTCGTAGAATTCATTCAAAGTGAAAATTTAGAATTTAAGGCCAAAAGTAACTGGAAGCATAACTGTCTTGGAGAAATTTTCCAGTTGAACCATTCTGAATAGCTCAGTTGGAAATTTTTCTCCAAGTCAGCTATGCTTCATTCAAGTACAATTCATTCTCACTTTCGTAATAGTAATAATTGTAGTATGCCAAGTGTTTCATTAAAACTTTTTCATACCTATTTCCATATGGATCGACATGCAATACTTAACAAAACAACAACACAATATGCATTAAAAGTCTTGACAAAGTATGTCATAATATGACACTCAAACTAGCTGTAAAATGTCACTAGTGGAAACTTTTAAATACACACTCTAGGCATTATGTGATGGGCTGAAAGTGGTTAACCGTCATCAGACACTATTATCACTTCAAGGAAATGTCTATGTCTGTCTAAATCTCCAATGTTTATTACATATATAGTAGTTATGTCTCCTCTTGTTTTGCCTTGTATCTCTTGTCTTGTTTTATTTGTTTTGTACTCCCAGTTCATGTACTGTCCTGTCCTGCCCTGTCCATGACCTGTTCATGTTCCCCTCATGTATTGTGTACATGTTCTGGGTTCGTCTAGTTTTGTCTTATTTTCTTGTTTGGTGCCTGTTCTAGTCTAGTACCTGTTTTCTAATACTGGATACAGAGGGGCTGAGGGCCCTGCTCAATGAGCTTACATGTTGGAGGGGTGGGGTAAAGTGGTGCAAAAGGTAAGGGAAGTATTAGATAAGTAGATTGCTAGAATAGTATTCATTGAAGACTTAGTGTGGTTTTTTTTGGAGCCATTAACTGTTTAGTTGATATGCTTTTGTGAAAAAGTGAGGTTTTAATGATTTTTTGAAGGAGTGGAGACTGGGTGAGCGTCTAATGGAAAATGTAAGGGAGCAAGCCTGCATGGTGGAGCTGATGGTAGCACCATTAACGTGGAGGGAGACAGAAACTCGAGTAGCAACACTTGAAGGAGGAAAGACCAGAAGTTCTGTTTTGGACAAGTCTGGTTACAGTTACATGTTTGTTAGTCCACCCATTGTAAAGCGCTATGGAATTTGTTGGCGCTATATAAATATTACAATAATAATAATGGCACAAGATGAGCAAAAACCAGCTTGAAGGGCAAGCTAATTAAGCTGTTGTCTTTTCTCAGCATTGTCTTGCACCCTGTTTTTTACTCTCCGCAAGTTTAAAGGGTAATCCAGACGTGGAACCCCTTATTCAGGGTGCCTAGATGGGTATCTGTAATTCCTCACTGACGAGACGTAAGAAGATCAAAACCATCATCTGTATCTCTCAGAGAGAGCCAGCTTGCATTTTGGATTTGGACTGCCCTTTTGGGTGGGATCAGTCAGATATGCAAATGACCTAGGTTCTCAATGTTTTCTTACAGCCTGTATATTGCTCTCCCCTATATTTAAATTAAAATCTAGTTTTAGATAATTCAAAACACAAAAAGAGCACAGTCATTTTGGTCCTCCATAGGAAGCTTGATTGCAAAAAAAAACCCAATAA